TGTGTCCCACAATGCTCTGCGCGGGCGGCCGGGCTGGGGAAGGGGAGGGCAGGTGGGCGGGGCGGAGTGAGCTCGGGGGCGGGGCGAGAGCGGGGGTGGTGGGGAGACGCGGGTACTGCGCAAGCGCAGAGGAGGCCGCTCCTGGTCGCCGGGACTGCAGCTGTGGGCGACTCGGTCCCCTGACGCACCCGGGGGTTTTGACACGGTCTCTACATCTTTTGCGTCTGTGCGCACGTGCAGCGTTACCTGCACACGCTGCTTAAGCCCTGGCCGGTTCGTCCTTCCTCTCGCCGTCCTGTCAGCCGGCTCTCCGCTTTCCCTGACAAACATTTCTGGGCACGATTCACGCCTCTTGCATTTTTTTGATGTGTGTTTTCTCTGAACTAAAAACGAAACAAACTCCTGTTATCTCGAGTGGTTTCTGTAGCGGCGCTGGACCGGAACACCCCAGCCGCTTTCTCTCGGTGAGGGAGGTGAGCGGGTTAGTCAGACCATTTCTCACACGCGGAAACTGAGGCCTGCGGAGAGGCGGCCCCCGACAGGTGAGGACTCCGAGAGCCCGCTTCCTCAGCAGACAGCCGACCCCCCGGCCGGGGCCCACAAGCCCACGGCCTTTGCGCCCCGTGGCGTCCTCTCGGTGCCCTAAGATTGTTCTAGAATTTGCCCGGGCCACCTGGCGGGTCGTGCGGTTTTGAAATGACTAGACCCAGGCCCGTCTCGTTCCCTCGACACGAGGGCACCTGGAAGTGCCCCAGAGATAACTCCTGTACCTCCCACATTCTTGACTCGCCTTCGGTTCTACCGCCACTAACCTGGCTTTCGGGGGCAGGGAGTGTGCGGGGCTCCGCGAAGGGACCGGTACTGTCCCTGGGGACTTTTGAGTTCTTGGTCTACTGCAAAATCGTGTGAAGTGTTGAGACTCTCAGGACCCTAGATTTTGGCGTCCTCGGGCCGGCAGGCCAACGCTGGGGACCGGGACCCGGCGGGCAGAAGGGCCCCGGGCTGCGGGCGGCGGGCAGAAGCGCGCTCCAGGCGAAGACCTCGGGCGGTGCGGAGGAGGCGGAGTGGGGTGAGGCCTGCAGCGCCTCGGCGCCCGGAGCTTGCATACTTTGTTTTCTCACGCCTCCAGCTCTGACGCCGAGAGACTTCTCTCCAAAGGGCTTTGTGCATGGTGAGTTGACATCCCGCCCCAAGCAGAAAGAAGGTTTCTTCTGAAACACTTGTAACGTCTTACAGTGATCTCCGCACTGAGAGACCAGCACCCTAGCACCCTCACTCTAGCCACTGAAATCTACTTGAGAAATCAAGGCCCAAAAAACCACGTCTCTTTCTAGGCCTTGGCCGTTTCCCACAGATTTTCAAGTATATGGAAGGTTTAATCCTCAACAGCAATTGTAATACACAGATTTCACTATTATTCCCCCGTCATTTTTATTATTCCCATTTCAGAGATGAGGAAAGTCAAAAAGACGCGTATGAGGCCCAGGAAGTTTTGTGCAGAGATTTCAAGGAGAAGGGAAGGCGGAGTGCTTACCCTGGGAGAGGAACGGCAGCGACAGAGCACGTCTCAGGAAGGGCAGGAGCCTGGAGTCTTGGTGGGGGTGTGTTAAAGTGTGTGAACAAGGTAACACCTGCAGCAGTTGAAGTGGGAATAAAGCAATCAGAATTCCCGTCGACCTCTCCTAGGGCTTTTACTGGGACAGTGGATAAAAGACCACTAGGCAAGTCCTTACTAAGTGTTCCCAAGGGACCGAGGTGGCAGCTCCATTTCAGGGCAAGACTAGCAGCCCTGGCACAAAATACAGCTTTTCTTAGATTATTCCTTTGTGTCTTCTCCCTTTTCTTTTTTATTCGACATTAAAAAATTACCATGCTCTCACCCCACTCCTACCCTGGGACTGGTGGGTCAATTAACCACCAAACTGCTGTGGGGCCCTCAGGGCACAATACTAGATACTTGAGTAGGGTATGAGAGACAATACAAAGATTAATTTTCTAAGAGTCCTCGCCTCTGTTTTGGCTTTGGGCAGGTCAGTTTCTGTGGCTTCTGCAGCCTCCCACCTTCTTCCTGGGCTAGCAGAGACTTGCCCTTGGGTTGGTGGAGTGTATACACCTTTCTTTGACACTAGGTTGAATAATACTCCTGGGAGGATTTATGAAACCAGAATCCTGCACACAGGTGAAACAAACAAATGTAGACAGTATGAGGAACCTTTAATTATTAACCTGGTGTGGGTGATTCTGAGGAATTCAAATTCCAGGCAAAGAGGGTTTTCTTTCATCTGTGAACTTTTGGGGGGACCAAATTCTGGCAGAAAGCGACACCTGCTTGTGATAGACCATCAGAGCTGAATGGGAGTTTTGTTATTTAGTCCACAAGTTATTTCAAAGCAAGAGCACTTAACAATTAACTGGAAGATCTCTAGTCTGACTTGGATAATTCCAATAAAGGAGAACTCATTACTGTACCAGTCACCCTTGCTCCCTTCTTAGGTAGTTGCAGTTATATTAACAAAATTCATCTTGTTCCCCCATCTTGGGACTTGCACCTTTTTGAGTATCCCCATCTCATCACCCACGCAGTTGAGCAAGTCAGCTTCGCTACTTCACTATTGCACTACATCTCAGTTCCAGTCCTAAATCTGTCCATGCCAGTGGCCACCATCCTAATCTAAGACTCCCACCATGTGCCTGGATAATTGTAATACCCCATACCTGCTTTCCCAAATACACTCTTCTCTTTGTTCTCTGCATGGCAGCCAGGGTTATAATGCATAGCAGTCGTATCTCACAACAATGGCCTCCTATCGTCTTTGGGATAAAAATCTCAAACTTTTACCATGGCTTTCACAGCTACATGATGTGGGCCTGTTCAGGACATAGCTTCAGCTTCAACTCTCATTATACTCTTTCAAGGAACATGCCAGCTGCAGATTTTTTTTTTCAGATCTTCTAAAATGCCACACTCTTTGTTTCAATGCACACATCATTCTCTCTGTGTATAAATACTTCATTCCTTAGCTAATTCAATTGTCACATCTTTTCTACATATATATGTGTGTGTATGTAAATATATATGCATACATTTAAAGAGAAAAACCACTGGCCCAAATGGCATCACTTTTGCTAAAGCCCATGATACCAAACCTAGATTTAATACCTGACCTAATTGCGGTTTCGACCTTTAGGGGGAATGTAATCTTAACCAACCAGTTTGGAATTTTCTGGTCAGCACTAATGAGGTAATCTGTCACATGGACCCTCTCCCACCCCAGGAGGTAGAGGCAATCTGCAGATAAGACCCTTGCTGTCCCTTCCCCCTACAACAGAAGATGTCTTTGCTTAAAAATAATCCTTTCTGTTCTTTTGCTGAAAATCCCTTGCCCCCACTCTTCTTCCTATAAAGCCTTCCATTTTGTACAGGCCCTCGGAGCACCCTTCTGCTTGCTGGGTGGGATGCTCCCTGATTCATGAGTCGTTGAATAAACGAGTTAGAGCTTCAAATTTACTGAGCTGAATTTTGTTTTTTAACAATATATATGAACATTATGAGATAGAATTCACATGCCATGCAGTTCACCCATATGAAATGTGGTAGTTCCGTGTTTTTTAGTATCCTCGCAGAGTTATGCAGTCATCACCGCAGTCTACTTTTGAGCGTTCTCATCACCCCAAGGAGAAAAACCCCTGCCCATTAGCAGTCACTCTCCCTTCCCCGCAGCTCCTCAGCCGAAGGCAAACACCAAACATTGATCTGTCTGCTCTCTGTCTCTACAGATTTGCTGATCCTGGACATTTCATGTAAATGGAATTCATCTCTTTTTTTTTTGTTTTTGGACTACCACTCATTCAAGGACATCTCGCCTGTTTCCCCAGATTGCACTAGAGTCTGTGGTGGATATTCTTAGAGTTTCCTGCATTTCTCTAACACTCTTCTAATTACCACTGTGATTCACTCATCATTCACCACTTCAATCCCAGAGCCTAGCATGGTGTCTAGCCCATAATAGCTCTTTGATAAATGTTAATAATGAATGGTGATTAGTGAAATAGATGAAATAAATGACTGTGGGGGCCAATTTTATCAGTTAGTAGAATGGCAACTTCCCAAGACCTGTGATGTCAGGGAAGAAGCTTGTCCTTCAATAGACTTACCCATTCCTCTGCAAGATGCCAGAATACCTGTGATTAAAGTCCCTCCTTTTGATTTTTGAAGACTCTTTAGGCCTTTAAGATACAACTATTGAAATAGAACTCATCTTCTGAAGGGGAATTGGTGGTTTAGTTTTTTTTTCTTTAATTCAAGGAAGAAAGCAGTGATTTGGTCTCAGTGATTTGATCTTAATGCTTTTGTCTGCTCTGAGCCCCACCTCCCCTCCCACCACAATGCTGCTTTTCTTCTTCTTCACAGGATTCAAAGCTAGACTTCTCAAAACTGTTATCTGCACTCACTGTTCCTCACTTTTGCATCTCCTTTACTTCTCATCCCCTCTAATTTGATTTTCCCTTCATTCCACCAAAATGTATCTCCTTAATGCCCCTGAATACATCTGTGTTGCTAATCCAAAGGGCATTTATTTTTACCCTCATCTTTTTGGACTTTTGAGCCCCATTTGGTCTGGTCGAGCACTGGCTCCAACTTGAAACACTCTCTTCTTTATCTCTGCTGACGTTCTCAGTGTGCATCCAGGGTTGAGAACTAGTGTTTATAGCATCTCTAGGCCAGTGGCTTTCAAAAATGTGGTCTCCAGACCTATAGCATTAGCATCACCTGTCAGATTGTTAGAAATGTGAATTCTTAAGACATTCCTAGACCTACTCAAATCAGCTTTGGCGTCGGGCCCCAGTGATCTGTATTTGAACTCTCCAGGTAATTCGGACCCTTCCTCAAGTTTGAGAACCAGTGCCCAGGCAAACCCATCTGCTCACATAAACTCTGTGAGCCATTGACTTTTGGGTGTACACCACTAACCCAGATCTCTCTACAGAGCTCCGGATCTGCCTGTCTGTTTCTACTTTGCTTGGTTGTCCCAGAGATACCTCAGACTCAACGTGTCCAAGACAGATGAATGGCCTTCCTCTCAAGACAGGATTCTTGCTCACTGTTTTCTAATTGCTAAAGCATACCACTTTAGATCCAGCACAAGCATCAGAACCCCAGGGTCATCTCTGATACCTCCCTAACCCAGTCTATTTAAAAATTATGTCATTTTCGCTTTCCAAATTTCTTTTAAAATAAACACCCTTTTTATTGTGAGAATTTCAAACATACAAAAAAAAATAGAAAGAAAAGTGAAAAACTTTATAAACTTGTACCTAACAGCCAAGCCCCCAAATCCAGTCATTGGCCAGTGTTGCCTTATCCATACCCCCATCCATCTTCCCCCTTCTGATATTATTTTGAAGAAAATTCCAGATATCATATGATTTTCTATGTAAATATTTTAGTCTATATTTCTAAAAGAGACCAACTTTTAAAAAAAGTCTCGATGCCATTATCACAGTTAAAAACGATGATTTAATATAAAACTTCCAGTTAGTATTCACATTTCCAACAGACTCATACATGTTACAATTTTTTTTAACCAAATGTTTCAGTGAGGAGTTATACTGTGTTTGGTTAGTACATTTTTAAAGTCCTTTGTATTTTTTTCTTTCTTTATTTTCCTAGTATTTTTTTTTTAATTAAGAAACTAGGTTGTTTGTCCTGTAGTTTTTGCCACAAGCCCAGTTTTGTTAGTTGCATCCCCATGGTGTACTTTAACATGTTTCCTTGTCCTCTGTATTTTCTGTACATTGATGGTAAGATCTAGGTGTTTTTATCAGATTCAGGTTCAATTTTTTGGCAGGATAACTTCATAGGTAGGTGCTGTATTTTTCCTTTAGGAGACACACAGTTTGCACCTGTCTCTCTTTTTATAATGTTAATGGCTGTTGATGAATGATGTCTGCATCAGTTCATTCATTAGGAGTTTTAAAATGGTGATAAAATTCAATCATTTCTCATTTAGTAGCTGCAATGTTTCTACAAAGCGAAATCACCCCTCTTCAGTTATTTGATTATCCAGTGGTATAGTTTATGTAAGAAAGTGGGATAAATGCTTGATTCTTTCCCTTTTACTAAGTATCTCTCAACCCTGTCTACTCTCATTTTCAACTGCTACCATTCCTGATCAAAAATCCTTAACCTAACCTCCAAGATTTTGAACCTTCAGTATCCTATTCATCTTGCAAAGTTCTGAATGATCTGGTCCCTTCCTGTTTCTCCAGCCTCATTTCATGCTATTTTCCTCCTCCTTTTCTCATTACCGCCAAGCCTCGGAGGGCCTTTGCACATGACCCTTCTACCAGGAAAGCTTTCTCCGATGTCCTCTTCCTTTACTAACTCTTACATTGCTTTCTTAAGGAAGACTAGATTGGTGCTCCAATTGTAACCTCTCATGCCACCTTCTACTTGTCCATAGCACATCTTATAGTTTGTATTATGAATATTTATTGATTATTTGGTTAATATTTGTCTCCCCCGCTAAACTGTAAGATTCAAGAAGGCAGAGGCCATGTCTATTTTGGCATAATTTTTTCCCCTAAGCTTAACTTAATGCTTGGAATATAGTATGTGTGCAAAAAAAAAATGTTGAATTGAGTAACACTGAATTGAAGTCAGATTTGGGGAAAATAAAACATTTGTCTTGATTTGTAAAGAGTAAAGATAACTAACACTTATTGAGTACAAGGTGATATTCTAAGTTCTTCTAATATTCATTATAACCTTATGAAGTAGATATTGTAATTGTCTCTAATTGACAGATAAGGAACTGAAGTGATGTTAAGCCACTTGCCCAAGTTCGCATAGATTGTAAATGTCAGAGTCCGGATTCACGTCTAAGCAATCTGGCTCTAGAACCCAAGGTATCAGGTTAAAATCCTAATATACTACAGTCTGTAAGAATATACCACACAAATGTCTACACTGGAGAGGAACTGACCTCAATTCTTTGAGTCCTAAATTCAGAAATCCCAGAGAAGGGCTTATTGACTTAGCTCAAGTACCCATCCCTAAAACAACTGAAATCCAGGCAGTGGGCACTACAGGAACATGTAGCTTCCATGCCAGATATGTGAATGCTGAGTAGTAATTTCCAGGAGGAGAGGGCCTGCCAGGCAGACAGTCTCATAGAGGGCACACACATATTTCTTCCCCTACATCCAGTATCATAAATTCTCTTGTCCATATGTCCAAATGTCATAATACACCTTCCCCACATAGAACAATAGATACCTTGCTTCCTCAATGAGAAACTATTCTAAGATATGACCAGCTACCACATTCATCTCTGATTCCCAGAATTTCTATTAATAGTGTCTGGATATGATTGTACACAATTTTACAACCTATGAGATAAATAACAATTTTAATGACCCTAAAAACAGTAGAGTCACAATCTGTTGCAAAGATTCTAAAGTCAGCTCCTGCCGCATGAGAAATTACCTTGGGCCAATGATAACCTCCAAGGCCCTTAATAGGCAAAGATATCCAGAGGCCACAGAAGAGAGAACCAAGCCAAAAACCTCAAATCATGTAGTTTATCAAAAACGTTTAAAACACAGTGAGAAGTAAGGGGAGAGAGGTGGTGTAGAAGAACACACTTTGAATAAGTCTAAAGCGGGATAGAAGAACCACACCACCTGAATCTGGACTATGCAATGTTCATATTCCTGTCTTTCCCCTGTTGTGCCAGCTTTCCTCTCTAGTGGTGGCGTTAAGAGAATCAGAGTTTAGTCTGAACAAGGGGGTCTCGCAGACTAAAGGGGCACGGAGCCATCATACATACCTGTCTGTTAGAAAGATGCAGGAGCGAGCATCCCTGCAACTATCTCTGTCTCATCAATTAGCCTGATGAGTAGCTGTGGTTTCATCTGCATTTCTTGGACATAGGACCAGTGGGACCAGAATGGTGTCATCTCTGGGTGGCTGACCTGAGACCTCATAAATGTTGGATGCTTGTGAACCTCACGCGTATTTACTGAATCATGAATATTTGGTGCATCCTGTTCCTTCCTTTCCTTTCTATCTAGTTCAGAACACATC